AAAAATGTCACCTTGTAAATCAAGATTCCTTTTTTCCTAAGATGACTCAAAGTAGCCTCTGAGCATGCCTGGACAGTAGTGCAGGACAATGACCACAAGGTCCCTGTGGTTACAAGTCATGACCATACAAAAACCAGGATCGTATCTAATGCATGCAACACTTACTCACTTCATGCCTTTATGTCTGGGTCTGGCTCTTCTGGTCAGGCTTGTCAATACTAACAAAGCATCTGAAATTCTGATTTCAGTTACACCGTACCACATGGATATTTAGAACTGTTCATATTTTATGCTTTTTTTTTTTTTAATTCAGAGATTTCAATGCAGCTTGAATTTAATTTTACTGAATCCGATCTGATCTATCACATTGTATCTTCTTGTTACAGAAATTAAGTTTAGTATCAAAAGCTTAAACAACAGAAATCCCTCCCCTATAGCTTCATGAGAACACTTTATTTACCTGCATATCAGTCACAAAAGATTCTGTATGTTCCGCTTACAAGGTAAAGTCCTTGAGTAAAAATGGCCTCTGGTAACAATATGCTTGTAACAGGAAAACAGAAATATTACACTTGGCCATGAAAAACCTAATTTGAAATGTCTGAGCCATTTGATTTCAACGACTTGACAATTTCACAAGTCAGTTTAGTGAAATATTTTAACATATTTTAACTATTATTAAGAATTATAAAATGTCAAAAAAATTAAATTACATGCTCAGAAAATATCCAAAGTTTGGGCAAATGCATCTTGTATTTTAAAACTGTAACATTTCACATTTTTTATGTGTTAATGTCTGTGTCAATGACAGGTGAAATGGACAACTGTAACTCGAATAGAAAATTTTCATTGTGTGGAATCCAAAGTACTTGCAACATAACTTCATTACATCCAGTGTAATAATTTTAAGAACGTTTGCAAGCAACCACTGCATGGCCTGTACGTAGTGTTTGCACTGACGGATGAACATGGACAGAAAACATACGAAGCTTTCTTTTCATCCTCAGTCAATGAGCCAACAAATGCAATTTAGCTTCTAAGCAGAAAGATGATATCTGGTGCTAATTTGAGCCAGCAAACATTATTTTCCCTTTGAGCAAAAGGGAAATTACAATGGGAAAGTAGGAGAGATTATGGAATAAATTGTATTCTCATGCAGGCATACTTGTTTCTTCAGATAAAATCAGTCTGTTCCTTAGAAATGAAGGTCTCTAAGTGCTCCAGCAGGCTTTGAAACCTCCTAGGTGATGGGTGCCTGTGTTCAAGCTCACATTTGCAAAGTGAAGATGTATAACCTGGGATTAGACTGATGTGGGAAGAGGAGAAGGACAACAAGCTGTAAGAAATCTCTTGGCAGCCTCTGCCTCTTGGCTTGGGAGCTTCATTTAAGCTCAAGTTCTTGCTCCTTGCCTGAGCTACGTTGTGTGGAGTCTGTGTACTATGTTGGACTTAGCTGATCCTGACCCTGACTCGGGTAGCTTCATCACTTGGAGACTGTCTTAAATCTGTTACAACTCCACAAATGTTTGTAAAAAGGACAATACATTCTTACAGTGCTGAAACCATCTCTTGAAAGAAAGATTAATTTCTGATATACAACTTCAAATGTAAGAATGAGTATATATTACATCCTTCCTAAAAGTTCCATTCACTTTATTCATTTATTCTTCTGAGCTCTTTTATTAAATGGCTGTTTACTTACTCTTGAGTTGTTCAGAGCTCATGGCTAATAGAAATCTCAAAATTGCCCTTGGCATCTTCATATCAAAATGGATGGTTGCTAGCACAGTAATAGAGCATAGCATTTCTCTTCACAAAAATGCTGCCATTGAGACTAATGAAAATGTTGATACTAAGTACACTCACTAGTCCTTAAAATGATTTTAGGCAAGACACACTTTCTTAAATAATTTCAAGAAGAAAAAGTTCAGTATGAGAAGACGCATACTGCTCTTTAAATCAAGCTGATGAAAAGCTGAACTGATAGAGGTGGAAAAAAAGGGTTTGAAGCCCATGGAGGTATCCTGCACCTTTGGCACTTCTCTGCCATTTCTGTCTTGATGTTTAAGAGTGAGAGCTGAACTGCATATATTTTAGAGGAAAAGAGTTAATGAGCAAAATGAAGCAAGTGATATATTAATCTATAAAGACAGAAGTTGACTGTAATGCAGTCTCTAAGTTTCTATCGGGGTACACTGTAAGGTAAACATAGGAAGTTGGCATACAGTTCCCTTTCATGCCTGACACTGGTTCTGCTATCACTGCAAATATCAACATATATCTGTGTGTTTATGTACATATTTCTAATACTTAACTTTCTTGCACTTTTGATATATTAATTACATCCTTACAACATTAAAGGAATTAAAGGAAACATTACTTCCTCTACCTGATACTCTTAGCTATTTTTATAAAATAGTTCTCTATTCTTACTCTACTGCATCTAATTACTATTGTATCTAAGACTAATTTATTTTATTTATTTAGTAGTTAGATTTATTGTAGTGTATAAAGAAGAAGGTCTGAAGAAATGAACTGGTCTAAATGCCATGTGTCTCAACCCAGGTGATAGTCAGAAGTAACCTGTCTTGTCCTCTTGATAGAGACAAGGGAACACAAATGTACTGAAGAGGCAGACAAAGCACAGCTGAAATTTATATGAAATCATATACGTGATGATTAGAAGAGTGTACAACAGTACCAAAAATAAAGTATACATGGGAAACAAGGGGACATATATAACAGAAAAAAAAATAATCTAATATTTCAAATATACTCTCTACCCGTGGGGTCACTCATAGAAAGATTCTTTTGTGCTGCTGGTTACTATGGTGACAAGGACAGCCCAAGAGCCTACTTAGGACAGAAGTGATGTACTGTCTAGCCCATTACTCATGGCAGTGGGATACTATCAGATAAAAACATTAGGTCAAGAAACCTGTGATTGAAGACACCCTCTACAGCTTAGAGGGACCAAAGATTGATTCTTTTTAAGGGAGGAAAGACTGAGTGGATTTTTTTCAGCTAATAATGAGCAAACTTATCTATACATTTTAATTTGGGGATTTGATACTTCCAAATACTTTCACAAATATCATCACTATGGAGAAATTAATCTCTTTGAAGCAGGCTTACCTAAGGCCAATATAATGAAGCAATGTTTTACATTTTATAATACCATTTTCAAAAATCCATTCCAGTATATGACACGATTTCATTTTCAGAACTTTTGTCTGTGTCAGGTCTCTGTGAACTGAGACAAAGAGTTTACAAAAAGAGGAAGACGAATAAACTTGTGCCAAAGATCTATTCTAAAAATCTAAACCCCAAAGGGCTTAGATGGGAATGCAAGGAAGTGGGAAAGATAAGATGCAAAGAACAATACATACCCAACTTAGAGACTGTCAGGCTGCTCCAGGTTACAAGTGTGTGTATATAAAATTTAAGAATTGGGGAATTACCCAGGAATTTTTGAAGTCAAATTCTGACAGGACTATACAGCTAATAAGGACTTAGGCACTTAGCTAAGGAATGAACAGAAGGTGTGTGGATCTGAGCCTTACGCTAAAAATGAATTTGTGTTTAGATGGAGTATATACAAGCAAAATATCCACCTGAAAAACAGGGTAAACAAGCTTCTCTCATTCTATAGAGCCTCTCTAAGGAAGAATATATAAAGATTCTGAGGCTCTTGTGTTGTGTTGGTAAACAACTGCAGTAGACCAGTTAGCTAGATATGAGAATATCCTTTTCAGTATATAAAATAATCTGCCACCTGAGAATTAGTTTCCTAGAGATTGCCACACAGATGTATTTAAGAAACACTTCTTTTGCAGCACTTGGAAAACATCACTATACAGTAAGTGGTGACAAATGGCGACCCCAAACACAGTACTAATAGATCCCAAAAGCATTGAAACAGAACACTTGGGAATGAAAGAGATATGAAATTAGCATTTTCAATATTATTTTTTCTGCAACATCTCACTGTGTTTATTTCATCAGCCCCTAGCATGAAAAAACAAACAGGATTCAAGTGCTATGAAATATTTCTTCCTGTAAACTAGCCTAAGGCAATTTCTCTGCCTGTGCTAGCAATTGTTCTAACGACACAGTAACAGCTTTAGAATAATCCCCTTCACCCTCAGAAACACCAACAGTTTTATATTAACAGAAATGGAAGGATCTCCAAGGATCTCAAAGGTCTTCCTTAAGCAGTTGTAGACAAGAGACAAGACACTGCACACAATTGTCTTTCCTGTACTGGACACGTTATTCTGTCATTGATAACAGCATCACTTAATGAGAGCTGCAGCAGCACAGGCAGTATGCCTTGCCATAAAACAAACCTTTCCATTAGCCTAGTACGCTTCAAAAATCAAATTAAGGCTACTGATGACCTAAATTCAGTAAAATATACATCTACTTAAATTAATCACTGTGCTCCAGTAATGAGAATCTTTAATAGGTGGAACAGACGCTGGTTGAAATAATCAAGTTGTATTCATTGACCTCAGCTCTAATAGCAAAGACGTAACTGTCAGAGATCGTGGATTCTGCAGGCAGGACACAAATATAGCATGGTGCAGGCATATTTTCATTGACTTTAACTGTAAGATTATCTGTCTAGTCAGCGAGTCACTGTTTTTAAAACTAGACAGCTACAACAATCTCACGGGCAAATATTCAACTAACTCTTTACAGAACGTATAGAAAACAATACAAAAATAAAATTTAACTGATCAGCTTTTCGAAGGACATAATCTTTTGTTCCTCTTTCTGTAAAAACACACTAGTTACATATTTCTCTTCCAGTTTCTTCCCCGTCATACTACCTTTATGCCAGAATAATTTCAGATTCTTTTAGTTACTTTTGATATACAGAAACCCTATATATGTAAGAAATTAATCTTTGGTTATCTTTTATTGCTTGTAAATAATTCAGAGTATTTTTAAAGCAATAGGTGACACAGGACAGTTCTTTAGGAGACTTCAGTTACCTGGGTAATACCTAGCGAGGCCAGTTGCACTGCCAAAAACCTGCCATAACAAAGTGGGGTCTTCTTCTCTGTTCCTCTTGAATACATCATCCAACGCTGCAGTCCAGTTGAGTTCATTTAACACTATCGTTGCTGTCAAAAATAAAACATATTTGGTATTACAGGGCTACATCCTGACAAAAACAACGACTACAAAAAGCAGACAGCTATTGCAGAAGTAATAACATTTCATTTAACTAATCAACAAAGTAAATTTAAAGAAACACTCCACTTCCTTGGGAATTGAAATTCCTCATACTCTCTTCTTCCCCTTGGGTTACTTGTATGCAATGACTGTTGGTTTATTTGCATAGTCATTATCTTCTAGAAATACTTAGGTTCTGAGATGTCACTCTAATTGCACTTCCCAGATACAGAAAAATAAACGCAAGCATATAAATTTGATGTTTCTACTAATTATAACACATTGCAGTAAGAACAACTAGAATGATGTCAACAGAAGTATGTGAGTCTCATAAAGATAACAAAGGTGTTCCCTTCCAAATGGATGCTGTAAGAGGACTGCATGGGAGAAAGACCATGATGAGAATTGTAACAAGAAGGTGGGACCACATGCCCAATAGTATTTATCGCCTGCTAAAAAGATCTTAATGTTCATAGATGTGATCCTTTACAGAAAGATCAGCAATGTGAACGGTAATATTTATGAGTTCTGTTGGTTCCACAATGAACTTAAAATACAAGAAAATTCACATTTCAGCTAAATACTATGTGGCCAGTTATACAGAAACTTATATTCACAAATTTGTCCTATACCAATGCCTATTTTAATCAATCAAATATAGTATATAATCAATCAAATATATAATATATTAACATGTTCTGTATCTTTTTTATAAAGATATGTTGCGAGACTTACTCTAAAATTTATGAACACTGCTACAGTAATAGTTAATTAACTATAGTGAGTAGTCAATGAAGTTTTATTGTGATATAGAATATCTTCTGATATAACTTATGACAAATCATGCTCTTCACCTCATTTAATCAGCTGTAAATATCTCACTAATTTCGCCCCAAAAGTATTAACGATTAGGCAATACCAGATATTCAGTTAATTAAAATGAGCAAGGACTTTTTGTTGGTTTGGTCATTAATTCTTTCTTTTGTGTTGCCTAATGGCATTGTAAGTAATGTTTATAAATCTGAAACACCTACACCAGCAAGCCAAGAATAGAAAGGGAATTAGAGGGGAAAAAACATTTGAAAACAAGTAAAGATGTAAGTATAAATCCTATGAAAGCCAACACTGCAATACAGATCCTGCTTACACCATGGTATTGCACACAGGAAAGAGAATTCAAGTTCTCTTGCAAATGGGCAAGTCAAGCTGAAGTAAAAAGATTTCACATTTAAAGCACATGAATGGCATCTCAAATTGTACAAAATTTGGTATGTAGGTCTACATTCTAGCCCTCTGCTACTGAGGAAAAAAAATAAACCAACAATAAAAATAAGAAAAGGTTGAAAGTTAACATTTGACAGCTCATTTCCACAGTGAAGTTGTTAACAGGTACTGGAGAAATGAGATCACAACGTTAAATTTTATAGGCTTGTTTTTAAAGGTTAAGGAGAAAATTGATACACCATGTGTTTTGCAGAAAGGTTTTTCTATTTTTTCAAAGTAGTTTGAAGATAATATTCCTCTCTCAAGACCCAGCTTTTCATATAAAAATCAAATTAAATTTCCAGCTCTTGAAATTCCCTGTAAGCAGGTACTATTACTTGTCTCTTTGTCAAGTAGATAATTATAAATATATATATATATATTTACTTAAGAAAGAGGAATAATTCCCTCAGGTACCATGAGAAGCTAATTATATTTTAAAATGGTTACTGTTCAATTATCTCTTTCCGATCCAGTTTGATCTACTGTTTAATTAAGCATGAAGTACAGATTTTCTCAACTTAACTTTGTTTCAGATCCCACTTCCAGAAGTAGCTCTATGAAGTCATTAGAAATCCATTTACTTAGAGAAGAATTTCCTTTTGTGCTTGAATTTCTATTTTTTCACATTACTATTTCCTCATCTGATGTACAGAGTACTTGGCCCAGTGGAAGCCTGTGACAGTGGTTTCCAGAGGCATTTAGGACACTTACATAAGGCACTTGGGAGACACTAATTCTCACCTCTTTGCCAGCTGATAAAGCATTTAGGTTTCAAGGTCTTCTATGAATTCCCAAGCCCCATAATAATACAAACCAGTGCATTTCTCTGGCCTTGTGACCTGACTTAAAATTGCTGCAGCCTTTACCCCCAGATCTGCCATTGACTTTGCTGCCTTGGCCAGACCAGACAGCCTCAATCAGCAAAACATTTAATCAGGAACAAAACATTTTTAAGTTAATCATGTTCATAAATGCTTTTCTAAATCAGTGGCTCTGCACCCCATGAAAAAAAGTCTTCACATATGTGATGTGCTACAATTTTTCTAAAGAGAGGATTTCCTGCAAACAGTAAGCTTACTAATGAATAAACTATATTCAATAAAGATACATGAAACACACTACTGTACATTTAGAAATACTGTTGCAAAGAACGTCTGTGCAACATCACCCAAAAATATATTGTTGAGTTACATATATACATGCACCTATATGTTTTCACATATCTCTGAAAATACACAAGCATATATATGTCAAATGTCACAGTAAAAATATGTCTAAAATACATTTATATACCAAAAAAATCCAAAAACTAAGGAGACAATCTACAAATAGTAAAATAACTAAGTACTCAAGTACTGAATAGATATATTGGAACTAATAATTTCAGCATTTTATTAGACTTGTTGAGATTAGATTACAAAGGAAAAAATATAGTTTACTAGATCTTATTTGTGATGTTTTATAGCCAGAGTCAAGAGTTTTATGATCTTATTTATGTACGGCTTTCACCTTCCTCCTCCTCCTTCTCTACAACTTTCTCCCAGAGAAAAATACAACACCCTGAACAAATCAAGATCTTACAGCAAGGGGAAAACAAACCCACCCAATACACAATGCAAGAATTTAAAAAAATAATTAATATTAAATTTAAGATGAGCAACAAGAACAGAGTAAAGACCATCCTAACAGAAGTAAAATGAAATAAATCTGGGACAATGCTACTAACAGTATGCAACATTTCTGTTCTGAAATACTGAAAAACATACCTTTCTGTACTCCCGAAATTCATAGTTAAGTGCCCAAGTCTTATTTCAGGAATAAATTCTGACAGCACACATGTAACTTCAACATAAATCCTCTTGCTCTTAATTCACTTTCCCATTATGATGACAACAATTTGTGCTTGGAACAGACACACTGAGTTTATTTGGTGGGACTGATATGTAAATAGCTGATTATAGAACCATTAAAACAATTACTTCTGGAGCAGTTTGCTATTTGTAATTCAAATTTGCTCCCTTCATTCAGGATTTTTTATTTGTTTTCATTCCATATACAAGTATACTTGATATCGAATGCACTCACATTTGTATTAACTGATCTAGTAATCAGTAAATAATGAAAAAGGTGCTGGGAACTTTAGTTTTAATAATATATTTACCAAAGTGTTTTCCCACAACTTATATTACACTTTCATTTCTGCTTAAGAATATATCCCGGACTTCAAAAGGCAAGCTGTAAATCAAGTCCCCTAGCTTTTTCTTTTAATGCAATACCTCTGGTAATAGGCAATTCCAAACCAATGCGTCTAGATTCTGGTTTAAAGCCTACGGCAATGGATTTGAAACTACCCAACCTAAGAAAAGCAAGCAAAAACGCTCATAAACAGCAAAAAAACTATTTGAATGGTTCCTACTAAAATAGCATGATTCTCAACTTGCACAGAAAAATCAATGCAATGCTACTTTCACTAGCTCACAGTAGAGACCATGGCATCTGTCAGAAGATCCTAACTTGAGAGAGACAGATTTATATTGACTTCATGAATATAGTGAGACTTCAATTTCTTTTTCTGTTATTAAAAAATTGCGTTTTACTAAAATAAAATGTTTAGACATGTTATAGTCACACCAGCTGAGACACTGTGTATCCTAGAAACACCTGCCTTTCTTTTTGAGTTAACTTCCATACAGGAAAGAGCTTTTGACTGATAATTGGCAGAAAATCTAGTTGGAGACAACTCTCCAATAAGCTTATTTCCAATTCTGCTAAAAGAAGTCTTTGAAGATTACTACTTCAAAGTACTTCAACTGCTACCTTTCACTTGATATGGGCAAGATGAAAAAATAAAATTTATCATCACACAATAGGAAACATCATTCTTTCTGACTAATTCCAGTGAACTCCATCCATCTATTCCTTTTTTACCTCTTCTTTATGACATGAGGTTTAGGGGCCTTGACAAGGAATGGATTCAATTTTCCTCTGCAAATGCAATCAATAAAAAATAGAGAGCACCATGGTGCTCTCTTTAAAAGAACTGGAATACACTTCTGAAGATTTATTCCATGTATAGACCCTGGCCTGCATACAAGGTAGAGTACAACTTTATTTGAAAAGCCTGAAAGCTATTTACTATATCTGGAAATATGTCAGCTGCTGTTCTCTGATGCGGCAACTACATGTGCACCGGGTAGAACAGAAGGGAGCTCCTCGGCAGTTCATTAATCTTCTTGTAGTGTGTAGAATGTATTACACTTCCATATCCTACTTAATGAAGTTGACTCATTGAGTTCTTAAAAGATAGCACTGACTAGTAATTGCTATGAATTAAATATATATTTGCAATCAAATATTATGTTATTTAAGAGTGAGCACAAAGGGACAATGCATTTGCAAGTACATATTTCTATATATGTGCGTGTAGACACAGAGGCTTCCATCTGTAGTAACATTAATCAGATATTATAGAAACTCTACTGAAGGTATAAACTAGTCTTCTTCCTGATTTATGTTTACTACTTTTTTCAAGATTAAATTCCTTCCAGTTTATGCCAAATTACATAGAATGTTACGCACACTCAGCTGCCATTTCAAAGTTGTACTCCCATTGTATTTTATATTGGATCAAGAAGGAATGGTCTTTTTTATTTTAACATATTTCTAATTAGATTTTTGCACT